CCAAATAGATGCATTTAAAAACCCCCAAACTTTTAACTTGTTACTATATATTATCAAACATTTTTGAATCTGAAGATAAGGAATAGTTATGTTGTTATTGAAATGTAAGTTTTGGAGGACTCCTTTCATTTGTAATATAGCACAGCAAGAAATCTTTCGAGAGGTTGTTTCGGGAGGGTTGTTTGTTTATTTTTCTATTTTCGCTGTGGCAAAAAAATGGATCTGTTGAGAAACTTTGTCACATATTTCTCCTTGCATGAGAAACCCTGAAGCTTCTTCAACATGTTGGTTTTGATTCTTGGTAGAGTCCCTGGATTTGTGTTGGCTTTGTCCTAAAGCTGTGTGCTTGTAGGGGTTATTAAATAAACATTAGACTTTTCAGTATAGCTGAGGTCTTCTCTAAACCTTGCTCTGTAAAGCAACCTTTGTTCCAAGTTTTAGAAATAACCTTTGTGAGTTAGGATCAAGACTCGGTTTTGTCTCTGTTCTGCAGGTGGCTGCTTTGAATGAGCTTTTTACATAATTAGTCATGCTTTTACATCATCACTGATATGGTTGCAGAAGTACAAAGCCTTTCAGTATGTCTCAGTTTATATCAGATACCTTTATTGAGAGAGACTGTCTTACCCATTGACTCAGGAAGACCAGTAAAATAGCAATATCCTTCAAAAAGTCTCTTATTTAACTGTTGAGGTGGATATTTAGCCTCAATACACTTTGATTCCGTGATGTTACAGAATTCCTCGTGTGTTCTTTACAAGTTATTGTTAAAGGTGTTAATAAGACTGCCTTTGCAATTTTAGAAGTGCTAGAATAAAACAGCAAAATGAAATGCTAAGAATTAGGTATACTATTGGAGGTTTTCAAGCTGTGAGTGGACAAAGCTACAACCTGCCCAGTCTGATTTCAGTTTTGACCTTCTTTTGAGTAGGTGGTTGGACAAGATAACCTTTTGCAATCCCTTTCAGCTTGGATTAGTCTATAACACTTTGCCATTAACACATAAGAATTGAATCAATTTCAGGATACAGTCAATCTGTAGTGCAGCTCAGGGCACTTCTGCTTAGGAACAGCAGATTTGGTAAGAACAAATAACTTTCTCTAGAAGATTTCCTTAACCAATCTAGGATACTAAGTGTAATACAGCATTCACATATGTGGAGCCATATGTATGCCATATATAAAACTTCTGAGTTTTGCCAAATACAGTCTATACATAGGAACAATCGGTAATCTTACTGAAAATGCTATAACCTTTGTGACAATATACTTACTTTGTAAGGTTTTATTGAAACCTGTTATTTCTGTCAAGACAGAGGCTCCTATTTTGTTTGCACTCTTATTTTTGACTGATGTTTGGAAGAAAAAAAGTCAGCTTTCTAAAGTTACTTTAAATTTGAAAGTAATGAAGCTGCCAGGTTTTGTGCAGGTCCACATGACAATTTTGTATAAATTGCCTGAGTTGCATAGCTGCTGGTAACTTTCATATAATGATTTCCAGTGAATTAAAGAAAAAATATGGTTGGTTGTCTGTTGATGGAAATGCATTAGCTTGGCAAGTTTAGAAAATCAAAAGTCTCTTTATCTATAGACAGCAGCTGGACAAACTTCCTACAGACTCTTTGTTTGCAGCATGGCTCAGCCTTGGTGAAGGAAGGCAAAGCATTACTTCTACAGTTAATGCAACTTGTTGATTCTTTACTGAGTTTTGCAATTAGTACAGAATGAGTGCTGAATTTGTATCACAACATACCCCATCAAATATCCTTCAGTTTGGAGTTTTAATCTAAATGAGTGAAGTGAAATTTTAGCTAGTGGTTCTGTAGTTTGGGAAATTCTGTATCTAATGAGCAACGTCTTGAAATATGCAGTTTTTGCTTAACCAAGCCCCATGTCTTCGTAACGTACACTGCATGGTTATTAAGTTTAATTTATCTGAGAGTCAACAGGTTTCAAACGAGGTCTCTAAAAGTTGCAATACAAAACTTGAGCAGCGTGTATTAGATTTTGTCCCGTAAGGCACTCACTTGAAGGACCATGCAGCTAATTGTGTACTAGCAGGTCATGGAGGTATTTCTGAGAGGGCAGTGAAAAGTGAGCATCAGGACTTATGGATTGTTTTCTAGTTCTTTGAAAGGGAAGATAGTCTGCGATTTAAATCAGTAGTTGCAAACAAAATAACCAAGCTGTTTGCCTGTGGGTTTTTTTTTTTTTCACCTGTCTCAGTGAATCTAAGGGAGAAATTTAGCTCCTAATAGAAGCTCTAGTTCCAGTTCAGTGAGGTGTAAGATTTGTACAGAATATGGCTATAGCTTGTGGAAATATTAATAATGGTTTGTGAGAAAGGTGAAGTACAACTTGTAGTCCTGGTGCTTGATCATGTTATAACTCTACAGAGTACAAAGTATATTTTAAGAGGTGGGGGGTTTGTTCAAGTTAAACAGTAATGAGAAAATAGTCTTTTTCATTTAAAGTTTTTAATCCATTTCAATTATTTGTGTTTTCTAGATAGAATAAGCAAGAACTTTGAAGCAAAATAGTTTGGTGGACAAGATTGTTATTTTTACTTTTTCACTGTTGTTATGATCAGACATGTGAATATGATATCTCTTGAAAACAATGCACTACAGATAAGCTAACAGCTCAGTTTTTGGCAGCTGTTCCTGAGTGTTATTACAAAATATTCTTTTCTGTCTCTGAAAGAAGTGGTATCTTATGATATCACTGCGTTGGGAAAATCTTATTTTTCAGGGAAATTTACAAAGGTTATCTTTTGTTTACTTTTCTAAAATCTGGATTAAGAGTACTAAATAAGAATAGTTTATGAGATTGTATTTTGCTCTTACTTCATACTGCCCTTTTTATATTGTTCTAACTTGCTCATTTTTCTCAGTACAGAAATTTATCATTAATATTCCTAGGTAGACTGAACAATGTGTTGGCATACTTCATGGGATTTTCCCAGACAGCAGAGTTGTATGCAATATACTGACAGACATGTTTATCTTGTAAATTCACTTTTGCTATTACTTTAATTCTATTGTTGTTTTTGAAACAAGATTCGTCCTTGTCCATATAATTCTGAATTGCATTTCAAAATCTATCATTGAATTCCAGCTATCTGTCTAGGTAACTTCATGGAGTTCTGTATTATTTCTTGCGGATAAGGACATCTTGATTCTAAACACCTACAAACTTGCATCAGTATTGATAAAACTGCACTAGTATTTTGTCTTTTGTAAAATAATACCACTAATTTAAAAATGCAGTTCTGCTTTAATTTGCCATAGTTCTAAATATATTCTGTTTTTCTCTACCGTACAGTTCATATTTTAGAAAGTCCAAATGAATTTCCACCACAATAAACCAGATGATGTATTCCTTTGTCAAGTAATTACTTACAAGAAGAGAAGAGGGACATATGTCTAGGGGTTGTAATTAGGTAAATGTGTAAAATAGGAACAACTCTTTTAAAGGTTATTATACTATATATAACTATCTTAAGGTACAAGCCTATCAATCATAGTGATTATGTAAATTATGCCATCAGGGGATTCTCCTGTACCTTTCTGGATTTAAGTGTAAATAAAGTGCATTTAATGAACACTTTTGCTAAAAAAGGAAATATTTTTGAGATTGCATTGTATTTATAATGTGCTAAGATAATTCCTGGTGTAATCACATTTCTCCTGTTTGATTACACCATCAATAACTTTGAACTATTAAATTAAAAGCTAGTATGTCTTTCCAAGAGCAGTTTGAGTTATTAAAGTGTAACTGTAAGTCTTTCACATTTTCACTTTTGTCTGCCTAGAGGAACAGTTGATATCAGTAGTCAATACCAGCCAAACTGCCTTACTTATTGACATGCATACAAGCCTCCATATACAGACTTTTGTTCTGTGAAACAATTTAAAGTGTAGAGATTATGAACTCCTTTGTTGGTTAATTATATGTGGTTTTTTGACCCTGTGACTTACAAATTCTATCCGTAAAAATTTGACCTTACTATTTTAAATATAAATGAGAAAAAGATATGTGCCACTCATGATGCAGCAGATAGTCTATTCAACCCACAGGATATTTTCATTTTGTCTTGCTAGTCTTTTCCCCTGATGAGAAGAGAAATTGGGATTGATACAGATAAGCAGAAATGTCCTTGCACTTGACCATAGCTGTACAGCAGTTTCTAGGAAGGGAAGAGGGAATCAAGACAGAAGTTTACTCAAGGAATTGATATGTGCTGTTGCTTGTTATGAGAACAGCAAATGTAGGGAGTAGGCAGTGGTTATCACTGTCTGTGAACATGCAGTGTTCACATGTGGCAGTGGCTGGCTATTTATTGTGGACTCTGAGTGGGTATATAAGGTGTCTGGGGTATTGTAGGTAAGTGTCCCTAATAAAGAATGGAAAAGATTAAGGAAATATGAATGTGTTGGAATACTCAGAAGAGTAATACAGAGGTTAAGTAACAAAGGAAGAAAGTAGCATTTGATCAATGTAATTCTGAAGAGTTTCTAAAGATAATTTTGGAAGGCAGTGAAGGAGAGAAATAGCTATGCTCTTTCTAACAGATAAAAAAAGCTCAAACTGTGTTTTCATACATGCTGTAAAGTGACATTCTTGGCAAGAGAATTGAGAGATACTACAAAATAAATAACAGAAATCTAATAAATGCATGACACCTACATAATGGGGAAGGGCAGTTGGCCCGAGGTGAGGTAAGCTGAACATATGATGTTTATGTTACTGTAGGATATTCTAAGTACTGAAGTGTTCTGAATTTTTCTTACAGAGTTATCAGAATTGAACAGGAAAAGGGCTATAAGCCTTAGCTCCTGTGGCTTCCTAAGGGTAATAAATACAGTTTTAGAAAGTCTTAATGAAAACTCTGACTTTTAATGCACTTTCAGGGGTTTTTTTAAAGGGCTGTGAGCTCAACAATTCTTGTTGAATGCTTAGACATATATGCTTAACATGCTATGAGTGACTGCACTTACAGTGAGGAGCAGTTGAGTAATTGAAGGGGGATTTAAGAGGTCACTGTTGCACTTTCTCCACTGGATACTTCAGCCTTGGTTTGATCCGAACCACTCAGAGTTCCAGGGAAGTGCAGAAGGATGACCCCAGGGGAAATTACCTGTTCAGAACAATGTTTACTTCATTTTAACACCTTAATTCCTGAACTGTGTGCATCAACATGTTCTCATATGTAAGAAAAGTTGAATTAAAGACCACGTTTTCCAGTATTTTCTCAATACCATACAGTCTCTAAAGATGTAGGTAAAAATAGTGTACTAAAGTATCCTTTTGCTGTGGTAAATTGTAGATTGGGGTCATTTGTGCTATTCACTTAGCTTTTCTTTAGAAGAAAAGTGGAGTCATAAGCTCTGGTAAAGGATAAAAATGCGTTGTTTGGCAAAAGACTAAATCTTGCAAGTTCCTCTGAAAGGGAGCTTGGCTCTTTCACTGTTGTTTGAGCGCCATAGTGTTTAGGCAAAATACTGTGTATACTTTTTTTGTTCTTCTGATATGCAAAATAGTCTGAAAGTTTCCAGGTTTCATTTACCTGGGCTTTTGCACTTTCCCCACTTTCAAAATTTCAGTGCAATGTGCAAATGATAATGCACGTAATCCTACCTGAAACAGAGGCACAGCAGATAGATATTATACCTTCTTGTGGTATCATGGTGCGTTATAGCACTAAGCAATAATGTGTAGATATAGTTCAGTACTGTTTAAAGGCTTAAGTTTTTCCCTTACATAAGTAATACTGTTTTAAAGGTTATATTTGAGTTGGCTTCTAGAATTTGTTTCAGCTTGTATCATCTGTTATTTGAGGATGTGGCAGGAGGGCAGTTGTTTGATTTCATTAGGTGTAGGACAAATGTTTGCTCTGTACTGATTAAGACTCATTTTCAGTAGAGTGGGATGACCATGGTAGCAGTATATAGTGTAGCTGAATAGGCAGCTAAGAGGAAGGTAATTAAAGTGTATGCTTGTTTGTTTCTGAGGTTGTTACTTTAGATGGTAGCTGTCTCATGTGAGATGGTAGAAGCAAATTATTGTCTGAAGTTTCACTGATCAGAGTTTTATAATGTATTTGATAATTTTAAGGGTTAATACACATCTTTAAGTTGATTGAATGTTGAATATTCAAAAGTGATTGTTTGCAGTTTTATCTTGTAGCATGGCAGTGCATCATGTAAAATTTTCCATTAAATATTTATTGGAAATGAAGCAGATTTGTATTTGAAGTTTATTCGTTTCAACAGTAAGCCTCAGGACAGTACTTGGGCAACCAGGCTGCATAACTGCTATTAATGTTCCTGAGAATTTGTAGTTTATTTCTTGAAGTTAACTATTTTACTTCTAAGAAATGAAATTTCTTTGAGGTGCACTGTATAACATAGCTAATAACAGAATGTGGAAAAGAATTTAGTCCAGTTTAAGAGTAAACATTTGAAACCATATTAGTTTACTGGAAGCTTGTTAAAATAAGAAAGTGGTACTCCTGATTTGTTTATGTTGACAGCTGAAAATGGTGAATTCTTCAAACAGGTCTATAATAAGCAATTATAGATAGTGTCATAGTTGCCTAAGGTGATTGTGATCTTTTCTTAAAAACAAAAGTAAAGTGTAAAACTGATCTATGTGTGTAGCACTATTCTTGCTTTGTCTTGTGAATCCTATCAGCTCCAAGTTATTTTGAGCACTGAATTTCACTAGGTTTGCTGGATTATAGGAAATCATTCAATTCACAGAGAAGAACAGAAAAGAAGTTAAGTTTATTTTTATCTGGATGTAAGTGGATTTGGCCTTTGTGTAGAAATTATTGTTCTGCATCGGTTTCCAGTAATATAGTTGTGACTTCATCCACACAACCAACCGTTTATCCACAACACCCATCTATTTATCTGATGAATAGAAAGAAAAGAGAATTTGCCTAAAAATTGCACAGAACCAGTGAGAATGCACAGAATATTTTTCTTCTAGTCAGCTGTTTGACAACTGGGAGTATGTTTGTGTAATTATGACAGCTTTTAATCTCTTCAGTGATTTTACCATTCCTTCATGCTGTTCTTAACCAAATCTCTCAAACAATGCTGAAAGAAGCTTGCTTATGAAGTTTGGTGGATTATTTTTCTTGGGAAGTCATTGTTCTAGTTCTGATTTTGCTACTTTTATGATATTCTGGGTAGTCATTTTTAAGACATCAAACACAGGAGAATCCAAACTCTCACAATCACAGAATCGTGAAATCATTTAGATTGGAAAGACTCTTGAGATCATCAAGTCCAACTATTAACCAAACACTGCCAAGACCACCACTAAACCACGTCCCTAGGCCCCACATCTATACCTCTTTTAAATACCTCCAGGGATTATAGAATCATAAAACGTCTTGGGTTGGAAGGGACTGTTAAGAACATGAAGTTCCAACCCCCCATCATGGGCAGGGATACCACCCACTAGACCAGGTTGCTCAAAACCCTTCCCAGCCTGGCCTTGAACACTTCCAGGGATGGGGCAGCCACAGCTTCTCTGGGCAACCTCTTCCAGTGCCTCACTATCCTCTGGGTAAAGAATTTGTTCCTAACATCTAATATAAACCTACCCTTCTTCAGTTTAAAACTTGTCCTATCACTGTCTGCCCATGTAAAAAACAGTCTCCCTCTTTTTGATAAGCCCCCTTCAGGTATTGGAAGGCTGAAATAAGGTCTCCCTGGAGCCTCCTCTTCTCCAGGCTTAACAACCCCAGCTCTCTCAGCCTTTCCTCATAGGAGAGGTGCTTCAGCCCTCTGATCATCTTGGTGGCCCTTCTGTGGACCAGCTCCAACAGGTACATGTCATTCTTATGCTGAGGACTCCAGAGCTTCTTTGCAATGGATTTCTGAAATCAGTTTAAAACGTGCTGCATTGCTCTGCATCCTTTCTGTGAAAGTAACTTGTTGATTCTAAAACAAATTAGACAAGTGATAGTGATTTGTTCCTGATAGTGGCTTTGTGCAGTTGTTTTCACCGGGTTGTTCAATGTTGTACCAGTATGAACATTCGCAGTGCATGCTTAAAAACCCCAAACCCTAATGTAGTTTTGGAAACACAGTAACTACTAGAGATTTGTTAATGTTTCTGCACAAGATGTTGCAGCTTTTCACTTACAGGGGCCTTGTTTAAACATAAATGGTTTCTTTTCACATTTATTTCAGGATTACATTTGGTTTAAACTATAAAAGCCAAAGTTCTCCTTAAAGCCAGTATCTGATGGGAAGCTGTAAGGGTGTTTTGGCTTATGGGTATATAGTGACTTACTGAAAGGTTTCTTGCTTTTGAAATTAGTTTACACTGAATGGAGATGACTTTAAACTTTACAGTAGTGTAGATTAACTTGGAATTTCGCTGTTCTTGACATGAAGAACGTACTTATTGTTGGGACAGCAAAATTTAATCCTATGGCTTCAATACACTCTGGTTTGAAAGGAGAGATGGAGTAAAGAGAGAAAAGAGAGTGGAGCTGTCAGCAGGAATGTTTGGGAGCCACCCTGGTGGGAACCTCTTTCTCAGCTCCTTTACTCCAGCTCTTCAGAACTTTTTAAGCCTTTGCAGAAAATATCTTGTACAGAACTTTTCTGATTGGTCTCAATTGTCTTCTTGCTTGTTGAGTGCTCCTTCCTCCAGGAAGCAAATATTTCTGCTTCAGAACTAACTTTTATTCGAGCTAAACCCCCAGCTCTGGGAGAACTGCATATATAGAGGGTTCAAAATGGGAGAGTTTTCAACAGCTGTTGAGTACTTGTGGCAAATGCCTATTTCACTTGTATTTTAAGTTGACTCTGCAATGAATTCTCTTTTTGACCCTAGAGCTTTTTAAGAGGTTAGGCTAGTAACTTGACTGCTAGCCTATTTAATTTTTTCATGTCTATTTCCATTAAATGACTTTCATGAAGGAAATTAATTTGATTAATTATTCCATATTACTTGATGTAAGACACTGTAGTTGGTTATTATGGAAATTCTTCTGTACAGAACCATTCCCAAGATTTTTCTCTACAGAATTTGTTATCTTTTCCTGTTCTGCTCTATAATCATCAGCTTTTTCAGTTATCATCTATATCACTGCAACACTTGGACAGAGATACTGGGATTAAATTCTTAGTTCCACTCCCTACCCATTACCAGTTTTAGGAAGGAAGCTATACATTATGGGTTTCCAGAATGGGAGGGAAAGCAGTGGAACTGGCATCAGTGTGACTGCTTGAGCCCTGTAAGAGCTGGAGCTTCACTAGGTGCTTTTAATTACATACACTATTTATGAATTACCTATACTTCAGGAAGATAGTAGCACCTGATCTAAAATGTTGATGGGGATCCAGGTAAATTTATCTTTCTGGGTTTTATTGCAGTGGTTGGAGTTGTTTGTATGAATGATAGTTTAAATACAGAACAAACTGCTGTTGAGTTGCAATGGCTTAGCTGTCCATTTAAATGTCACAGGTAGCGGAGGATGATGATACCGAATCACGACAGGAAGAAGAGAAGGAAGAATTGAAATGCTATTCAAGAAGAAAGTTATTTTCCAACTGGAACCGTTATGAAGATACAGAAAAAGAGGAACAGAATGAACGTGGGGAGTCACAGAGAGGAACTGACTTCAGTGTTTTGCTTAGCTCAGCAGGTAGGCATTTTCCAGTCTATAGGGTTTTTTTAGTTTTGCATTTTGAAACATTACTACTTTTCTGGCTCTTGTCCTTGATGATGAAACAGGACCCTAGAATACTATTCTTATCTGTCCAGCAAGTCTGCCATCTATGTATTTAGGAGTGTTCAAAGTCTTCATGGGAGCAGTCTTATAGCATCCAGGCTGCACTGAACTGTGACAGATGGGAAGTAAAAGGGGACTTCTGGCTGCATTTATAGCCTTCTTGTGAAAATATGGGTCTGAGTGTGTGTAGCATCCAGTAACATTGAACTTATTCCTCCTGATGATAAATTTTTTGCTGATCTTGGTCATTGGGTTGCTTTCCAGTAAACAAAAAAGGTTGCTGGTATGACTTAACACAGCAAACAGTCAGGCAGCTGCTTGCTGTTGTTTGTTTTGGCAGAGATTTGTAAACAGCGCTGTACAGATGTATGCATGAA